TCCGAGCATAAACCCATCAGATCAGCGGCATGCAGAGCAGACGGATTAACTGTGGATGCACACAAAACTCCATTGTTCTCACTGAGCAACTGCAAACACTCTGTCTGAAAGGTGCTGATGGGAAAACGACCAGAATTTAACAAACTTTTGACGTAAAATCAAAACTCAACCAAAATCCTCTCAACTACAACTAAACTAATTTAGTAGAAGTTAAAAGCAAGTTGAAAGCATAAATGAGTGTTGACTAGCATCAACTTATTAACAAAAGCGAGGCTTTCTTACACATAGTGGCACTGCCACTGACTACATGTGCCAGCACCTGCTGCACTTACTGCTGAATGAGGGAGGCAGGAAGGTGACATAAGCATCCAGCAATTGTAATCGCGCTTTTAAAGGATTTCATCTGCTAACTGGGTAGTGTTTCAGAGTCACATGGTCACGGGTGAGAGAATGCTTCTTACACACGGCAGTGAAAATGACTCATGATTAACAATGGCTGGCTACGAATGAAAAGGAAATCTCACTACACTAAGAATCACTGAATTTCACCCTTTCACCTCATCTAAAGGAGATAGATACACCACTGGCATCTGTCCCAAATCACATTGCTGCCACATATTTTAAATTTTCCACAGTACGAAAAAAAATGCTTATTATATAGCATCCAAGCTGAACTTTTAGTAAAAGGACATTGAACTCTATACCATGTGATGTCACGTTTTCAGTAACAGCTCATCAAATAGAACACAAATAAACCTTCAGACGCACAAGCTTCTAGTTTCTTCTGCCAACCGTTCAAACAGCAAAAAATGAAAAAACAAACGCTATTACGAGAATTTGGACAGGGTGTTGTCTAAAACCTCAAACCTCAAAATGTCGTACATACAAAAAATATAGATAAATAACTAGCTAATTTTTCTATTATTGATTGGCAATACGTCCATTCTGAGTTTACTATTGAGCTAAACTATTATAATAATGTCTGATTAAAATTTGAAGAGTATATTTTCTCTTCACTACTCCACTGTGTTTATTCTCCATGTAATACAAAGTATTAAATAAATGAATCTTTGAGCACAGTCACAACCATGACCGGAAGCTAAAAATAGATTCAACCTCCAGATATCTGATGATCCAATCAGACTTAAACCCTAAACTATAATGTTACAAATTAAAAATGACAGAAGATGATCAAAGAGGGTTTTTTGGGGTTTTTTTTGTACTCACCAACAGCCCCCCACCTCCTAGGCCACCAAAGTACCAGATGTAGCTGGCCAGGCGGTCCTGCTTAATGTAGGTGATTTCTCCCATGGGAAACAGCAGCAGCAGGTTTGCCACAATACAGCAAAGGGCCAGAGGCAACAGAGCCAGGCCCAGAGACCTGGCAAAACCCACCGAACAACACATCGCTCACCCCCCAGAAAATCCACGCTCACAACCACAGGGTGGAGAGGAGAGAGCTAGAATGGGCTGAGGAAGGCAGAGACCGAGTGAAAGAGGGGAGGGAAGGGTCCGAGCAGCTGGGGAGGCAGGAAACGAAAATAAGTGACAAGACCCTGGTGTTCGTGTGTGTGTGTGTGTGTGTGCTTGTGTGTGTGTGTAACTGCTAGTGTGTTAGATTTTCCTTCCTTTGCTGAGAAGGTTCTGCCATGACACGCGTATGAGGAAGTACACACTCACAGGAAGCTGGAGGGTGACCCAATAGAACTCTGGCACAAATATAATGAAGAAACCCACAAATGTGTGTGTGTGTGCGTGTGTGTGTGTGTGTGCGTGTGTGTGTGTGTGTTTCCCACAGCCTCTTAGATAGCAGGGTCTTTTAGAGCACTCTTATACTTACACAGCAAGGAGCCACTTTCCCTCACAGTGACTTAATCATAAGAGCAGATCCATAATCTGGGATAGTCTATAATATTTAGTTTTAGTGGGAAGTGGGAAGTTTTAGTGGGAATCCAGATCGCTTTCTAAAAACCTGCAGGACTGCAAAGCACCAGCCTTAGCTGAGAATGGACTTTTTGAGTTTCCTACCACATCTATTTTGGTATTAGTTGGTATGTAAGGTGCTGCTCGAATTATTTTATTTATTGATTAAAACTGCACGGTGGTGTCGATTTTTAGTATATCAGGGGAGTGGAAATTCCAGTGTTCCCATAATGAGAAAAAAATCCAGTTGAAAGTCTAAAAGAGGTGAAAACATATTCAAATCTGTGAACAAGTAAACTAGTTTTGTCATCAAACAACAACAGCAGTGTTTGTGTGATCGGTGGATGCAAAATGTGTATTAAAGGTTTCCACACTATAGAGTAGGCAGTCATGGCTTTAAAGGGTTTGATACAATTTACCTGTTTGTTTCAGGTAATGATGCCGTAGGTCAGCAGGTGTATGTAGGTAAATAAAGCATAAAGTGACCTCTGTATGGATACATGTGTGTGTTTCCGATGCCCTCAACACTGTGAGCTGTTTTATAATCCAGCTGGAATTCAGCACATCCAGATCAACTGCAGGGTAAGCTGGTACTGACCGCTAACAACCTGGACTAAAGAGCTGCGTCGATTCAGGCAGATTTTGTAAGACCAGAGCGTATGTTTGAGAGCAAACGCGTGGTACCAGGGTGGCTCCAGGGGCTCTAAGGAGATCAACACTGAAACAAAGTCCAACATCGTTATTCTACAAACAGAAATCTGTGCGGTGGATATGTGTGAACTGGCAGCTAAGTGGTTCTCAAGCTGTTTACCAACTTGCTGAGAGTTTTTCACAGATTTGAAGCCACAGCATGCACTGTAATTTATTCTGTCACTGTGCCTCTGTCTTTATGTGTTCTGTTTGTGTGTTAGACTGGGAGGCAGCAGGGCGTTTCCCAGGGGCTAAAAATTCACTAAAAGATAAAGCTCATACACAAATGCAAATCCTTCCTGCTTGAAACCAGGCACTGCAAACATGCAGAAATGGCTCACACTCTGAAATGCCTTTGAGATTCTGATAATTACGTCTATATATTTTGTTGCCTCGCACCAAAAAGGTCAGGCAATAAGCAAGTTCAGCTTCCAGGCAGGAAGAGATTTGTTGTGATTTTTGTGGCAAGTCACAACGTCTTACAAGAACAATGATTAAGAATCACCTCGAGCATCTCTACATCCAAGCCCTTTTTGAAACGTTTTCTTCTAGTTTAGTCCACTTGATTAAAATCAAGATAAGATCTCTATTAGGCTCTGCAGCTTCATGTTTTTACTCTCAAGCTCTACAAAAGTAGGTTTGAAAATAAGCTAATATATTGATTAAGCATGACCACCTGACTAATAAACGAGTTGGTCCCTCTTTTCCTGCCAAAACAGCCCTAAATCATCGAGGCGTGGACTCTACTAAACCCCTGAAGGTGTGCTGCGGTATCTGGCACCAAGATGTTAGTTGGAGATCTTTGCAGTCCTCTAAGTTGTGATGCGTGGCCTCCATGGATCTGAGTTGTTTGTCCAGCACATCCCACAGATGCTCGATTGGACTGAGATCTCAGGTACTGGGAATTTCAGCAATTTGAACTACAGCAGGTCGTCTTTTGGATCGGACCACACAGGCCAGCCTTCGCACGTCACGTGCATCAATGAGCGTTGGCCACTGATGACTCTGCTGCCGATTCACCACTCATCCTTCCTTGGACCACTTTTGATAGATACTGACCACTGCAGACCAGGAACAGCCCACAAGTGGTGTAGTTTTGGAGATCACAGTTAGTCAAACTGGCTCAAATCCTTATACTTGCCCATTTTTCTGGTTCTAACACATTAATTTCAAGCACAAAATATTCACTTTCTTCCTAATATGTCCCACTCACTCACAGATGCCATGATGAAGAGATAATCAGTGTTATGTACGTCACCTCTCAGTGCTCATAATGTTATGCCTGATCGGTGTACTTCTACTCTAACAGTGTAAAAGCACAATTCATAAAATATGTTTTGTACTGCTGTTTGATTCTGACATCAGGGGCTAAAGCTGCAAGCAATTCAGAAACAACTTTAAAATTAGAACCAAAGATTCAAACAGCAACTTAAAATAAATGCACACCTATATGTATTTGGCAGATTTAAGTTAATGCAAACTGATGAAGCATATTTCACTGACAGAAAATCTGAAATACTGATGTTTTAATTGATGAGATGTTAACAATAACAGAAAATGATTCACAGAAAAAAAGGAACAGCAACATTATGCAAAATAGATTTTTTAACGATGACACTATAATACTGATGTACATAATTCAGAGCAGAGTAAAAATGAAATAATAACTTATTGTGGACGGAGGTTTGTGTATGGAACAACACTGCATTTCTAGCAAACTTCAAATCAGCACCAGCTAATTAAAGAGACTGAAACAGATAATTATCTCTGCCAAAACACAGAGTTGAGGAAGGACATCTTTGGCATCAATGCAGCAAAGATAAAGATCTTCCTGTTTGTCACTTTTCACATTATAAATAATCTGAGGTTGTGCTGATTTATACTAAACTCTACATCCAGCAAATGTGCTTTAACTCAACATCTAATGAACACACGCATAAAAACATGATTCCATAAGGCACTTCTTGAAGGTACAATGGTTTTTGAAAGAGTTATGAAGCTCACTGTCAAATATCAGCTGACAAATAACAACCCGTGTACTGCACAACATTTGTAGGCATTTCTTTTCAAGTAGTTCTAAGATGAAATCTTCTGATTACAACATTAACAAGGCAAGAGCATTTTCTAGTACCCCTGAGCACATCCATCTGATCTGGGATCCGATCCTGCCCATAGCACCCTGGAAGGACGATCCTCTTGGGTGACAGACGGATTCCACCAATCCCCCACTGCGATGATCTGCCCCCGCCCAAACTGAGACCTCTTGTGGCCTGTGTGTGTGAATGAAAAGGAAGATGCAAAAACCCACTGAGCTGTGTGGACTGTAGGTACAACAAATGAAAATACATTCTAAGTCTAATTAGCATGCTAGCATCATGAAATCAAGGTTTTTGGAGTGTTAGTCAGAGTCTGAAAATAGGTAGAACATGTAAACCAGAGGATATAAAGATGAGCAGTAGGAAGATGCGTGCACTGTTCTTTTCTTCACTGACAAGTTTTGAACAGTTAGATATTTTAGATTTGTAAATCATTAATCACAAAAACTTAAACTGTTAAAGTTCAAAGGTTAAAACCCGCTTCACTGGTTAGCATTTTGTAGAAAATACAATAAAACACAAGGACAGTGGGGAGGATTGTTTTTATTTGACTTTTTATTCCTCTAGCTAAAACCTGTTATTATCAAATAATACTTCATTAAAATTATCCTGAACTGAGTCTTTTATGATAAATTTTGTTATTGGTTTTAAATTAACATTAAACTACAACATGGAATTTGATATAAAATTAACTTCAAAATGCTAAAATAGCCGAAATTCTGCATATTTTATATTCTGTGCTGCTAGGTTGTACAAGAAGCTGATCGCACTATGATCCGACTATCACAGTGGGAAAATCTTGGATAAGCAAAAGTTGATGCACGCATCATATTCACACAAACCAGAGAGCCATCGTAAGTAGCACGTAAGAGGAACAAGTACAAACATCCTGTTAACAACAGGAAGCAAAAGGGTTTATGAGAACTGCGGTCTAATGCCGCTGATTTGAACCTCATGGTTATTCCAAGAAATGGTCTCATTCGTTTACTGCCGTTAGTGTATTGCACATCAATATAATAATTAATGTCACACATTAACTTTTAATGACATAACATAAGTCGTGACTAAAGAACTGAAATGTATTACCTTTACTTACGACTGAGAGCAAAGGCCTTCGAAAGTAACTGTTTTGCTGACATTTTGCTCTACAAAGGTGTTTTTCCTGCTTTTCTTCAATCGCTTTCATTAATGAGCAAGAGAATGATCCCAAAAAGTTGATTCTGTTCATTGGGATGTAGTTTTTTCAAGAGAATGATCAGTTTTTTAGAAGTATGACATAAATCACACAGAAAAATTGAATGGAGCTATTAATAGTGAGCAAACAGTTAATTATGTGCGTAAAGTACCTGACACTGGCCAGTTGACACGGTGTCCTCGTCTTTTCAGTTCCTCAGCTACCTTCTGATCAATCCCCTCCTCCAGGTTAACCAACCACTGACCAGCTGGGAAAATGTGACCACATACAACATAATTTAGAGAAGTTTTCTTCTCAAGTGTTTCCAAAAGTAAATGCAAGTAAAAAAGTAAAAGCATAAATGAATATCCGAATGACTTATCTAATCAATATTTTGACTAAACACACAATGTTACTGATCATTAATCAAGACATAATGTTCTTCTGCTCTTTAAGCATTCAAATGATTCTAACATTTGCTATAACGGCACGTGTTTGTGTGTGTGTTTTTGTGTAGGCCTACTTTTGTGGTCATACTCTGCATAGACTCTAGGTGCATCCAGGGCTTGCTGAGGATTCATCCCAAACTCCATCATGTTTAACAGCACCTTAACACAAGA